TTCTTTTTTTTTTAAATTATTTGCTCTTCTGCAAATTTACAATCTTTTCATTTTTGAATATTAAGGAAATGTATAACATAATAACAGTAGAACAAAAAATTAACAGAAATAAATCACTACTATGAAACTATTTATAGGTTTCATAAGTAAAATGTTCTTTCGGGACACACTGTATAGATATAGACTTATCTAGTAGGTTAATTGGAAGGTGATTCGCAGGATCGCACGATCTCTTCTGATATATTTGTTTTCTCCTGAAAATGAGGTCATCATTATGTATGCTACGAACAAGGTTGGCCTCAGATTTAAGTTCATCTTTGATTTCTTCTTTTTTCACTGATGGGTGAATATAAGGAAGTACTACACGGAATGCTATATTTGTGTTGGTCGAAATGTGTGGAATTCCGCTTCTTTTTCGTCTACTTTAATTATGTTTCTGTATGCTTCAACACTGTATATTGTATTATTTTTATTTCGTTACTATACATGTCATATGTGAATTCCTTTACATGCCAGTGTTAGTTTAGAATTTCAATTGATTTCGGTATATCCGTAATATTTGGCAGGAATATTGGTCGCATGGCACTGATATTTGTCTCATTTTTCGTTTACGTTTCAAGCGTCAAATTCAGGTAGCTACATTTTGCTCATTAAACCCCAAGATATCCAAGCAGTCATTTCGAATTCAATAAAACTGCAATTACGTTGCTAATAATATTAACCCGACATGATTTTCTATAAACAATTGAAAAGAGATGTGAAGTTGTCCTTAGCCGGAGAGAAAAGAGTCAATGACTGACGATGACTGCCTACATTAAAAACGGATTTCAAAGAGGATCATAACAAGCGCTCCATGTCCTCAGAAGAGCTTATAAACGCGTTACGGAGGCGCAACATTTTTTTTAAAAGCCTTCCCCCCCCCTAACAATGGTTATTATTACTTTAAATTTGTGTGTTAAAGTTTGCTTTTCAGAGACACTGGGTGTATTTAAAGACAACAAATTAAATAAATTTTGGATATTAAGACTATTATAAGAGTTGGTATGACTGATTCATATGCTCAGAGAATTTGGGCGTTCCCATTAGATGACCTTCTCAGCATTAACGTATTTAAATCAACATTTGTAAGAACTAAAGCTTACATGAATTTTACTCGATAAGCAATGACCTCAAACATTCGTCTTGCATTCTGAAGGTGGATTCAAATAGCATTGTGATGTCAGGGTCGGATGGAAAAAGAGTGACGCTAAATAAACTTTTCATTTGCAAAACGGCTTGATGGGGAGATTTGCGTGGAAACTGTGAAAAGATTGACTTCCAAAGATATGGGAATTGTCTTGAAATGCTCATTTCTTATGAACCATTACATATCACGCAAAAAAAAAAGGTGGTAGCACCGATTGGATTGCAGAATTTTGCATCCCGTTTAAAGGCACTTTAGAAAAGACATGAAAATATTTGCAAATTTTGAAAATTTATAAATAATTAAATTTTTGCAAATCTGAAGAGGGAAGGATTTATGGATGTCCCAGAACCGTAAACCGCGAATTTTGCGAACAATGTTTCAACAATTAACAATTGTGTTCACAATTCCGAAACGTGCGCTATATGGCCCGGGGTTCTCTGTCTCTGAGGTGAATAATGTAAAATAACAATTTAGACAAGATATGCAAAATTATTACTAAATACCCAATTTAATTAATACTAAAATGTTAAATTTCGTAAACACTGATATTTGAACACTATTACTTCGTCAAAACTTCCCACTCCCAAATAATTTTACGATTTTGAAGCCCCCTTCACACACTTCATTTCTTCGTCTCAGTTTCGTAATATTCCTTCACATACGTAAGTTATTTTGCATTACAAGAAAGGATGATAGTCAATTGATTTTTCTCAAATAAATCTGGATTATGTGAAAAATGTAATTCAACGTTTTCAAATCCACTAATTCTATTCTATGTGCTAAACATTTTTGACGTAATGTATGATATTATCTTTATTGATATAATTCTTGTAGTAGATGGAATGGCTTGCACTACGACGCAATACAACTGCCTGTGTCTTCTGCGCTAATACTCTCAACCCTTAGGATAAACTCCCCTATGATAGGGAACGTTCATGCTGGAGATCCTGATTGGGGAAATCCGGAAGAAATGTAGTCCATCAGCTTCTCAGTCGTTGGCAGTTGGTTGAGAACGTTATTCTAAAACAGTTAACAATGAAAGAACCAGAAGGCGTTATCCTCGTACGGTGCTGCCGAAATGTGCAGAAAGATTGGGACTTAGAATTTGGCCGTTACCCATTTTATGTGTCGGCAATTGTATACAGACAGGCGGTCTGACAGATGTTTTGCCCACAATAGATGTTTCGGTATCAAGAACCCACAATTCATAGATTCTGACTACGCAACATGTTGGATGATGTAATTTACTACATAAAGGAACAAAATTTATTCACCTTTTTATTACCAGTACACGGCAATAAGAGAAATTTTAAAACAATTTTTCTCAAAAACAACACCAATCTTTTTAAAAAATATCCCCATATATGAGTAACATAGATTGCCATAACGGTACTAATGATTTCGATTTTATTTAATATGATATTTTACATAGTACCAGCCTTTACAAACGTGTAAAGACATAACCTCCAATAAACCTTTTAATACAATGACTGAATTATTGTCTCAATGCTTTGTCTTTAAACTGTGATTGGTCGATCCCCCTGTTTCATATTAATGCTGTTGCATTCTTACCATCATTATGAAACGATCTGCTGACATCTAATAAGAAAATTATAAAAAAGGAATAAGAAAAATACAAAATAGGATTAAGTACTGCCGTTGTGCGTTGACAGACGATGGCTCGATGGAAGTTCCAGCGGAAAGATACTCACCTGTGCCTTCAGACGTCTCCATGTACACCTTCAAATCTTCATTAGAAGTCAGTTCAGTCAACAAGAATATGACTTGGATCTGTCGCTCGTTGACTGCAATAATGGCAGAAGTCAAAATTTACGAATTGTAAATTAAAGCACTTTCTCTCCAAAATTGTAGATTGGTATTTCTTCCAAGAGCAACAGCAGCAAATCGTACAGAACAGTGTTCCACCAACAAATGGCAGAAATGTGAATCCAAGAATGATGCATTTCAATAAAAGGTAAAAACTTCAAACTCATTTATCTGAACACCTAACTTTATTTTCTCGCACTTACTTCATTCGAAGAGAAACTTGTGTAATCGTGCGCCAAACAAACTGTGAATTTTCGGCAGAAAAACTCTTAATGCCAGATCCTGGTATCAAAAAAGTGGATAAATCATGTTACTGTATATAGTAAATTACTTTATCTAACATGTAGTCTAGCGAGAATCCATGTTTCGTGGGACCTTGATGCCAAAAAATCGACTAACTATAAAATATATGTCCGTCTGTGGCCTTCGCTAGCGCCTAAACCGTTCAGCTGATTTTCTCTAAAAGTGATATTGCCCGATTGATCTGAACAAACTCAAGGCTTTGGGTGTGTCAAGCGGATATTTTGATTTTTGAAGGTACTTCAAAATGCAAAATTAAAGCAAACGGCAAAAATAGTTGTCAGATGCTAAAATAAGCAAAAACTGGCAAAATGAAAATCTATTAAATCAGCTCCATAAGTACAATTAAGTGATTTCCATTGTCAAATCTCGTAAAAGAGTAACAATAACAAACGGCATTTCTCAAACGTCCGAGCTCTCTCTTTATACCGCTAGTGGGAGTGAGGCTGCGAAGTTCAGGCTTAAGGCGGAAGGACAGGTGGTGTGTGGATCAGGGCGCATGCGAGGGGTCTAATCCAAGCAGGGAGGTGGGACACGCCCTGCGGAGGAAGGATGTTGCGTGTAGGGATAGACTGCCAGAGGAAGGCAAAGAAGGGAACGAGACAGGAGAGGCTAACGAGGTGAGCAAAATGAGCGAGGAGAGGGGGAAAGGAGCTAAGCGAGGACAGCGAGAGAAGCGAGTAAAGTGCGGAGAACGAAACGAGCGAAGAGGGAGAGAGAGAGAGAGAGAGAGAGAGAGAGAGAGAGAGGAGAGCGAATGGGCCGAGGAGAGCCAAAGGAGGGATATATTTGAGGAGAGCAAAGGATGCGAGAGGAACAAAGAGAGGAAGTGATCCAGGAAAGGGAAGAAAAAAGCATAACTTTTACAAAACCTCTTTAATATATTACTTTAGCACATGAAATTAGTTTACTAATATAACTGTAAACGTATATCTCGCCCAATATTTTCGATAACATTTATGTGCGGAAAACTTTTTACTGTTTTAATCAAAGTGCACCTCTTCTTCGCCTGAAGTCTTCATCCCTCCTTCCCTTTACTGTTCATTGTTTTGTTTCGAAATGCGCTTCGCGGCTGGTCGGTCGTCGCACAAGCGCCGCTGTGCTGCGAGTGGATCAAGTCATTCGCGATGTCGTTTTTCAACTTTGATGGTTTCCGGTTCTTTGAGGTCACGTGTCAAAATAATTTATACTCTGATGAGTTGCTGCTCGTTGCACGAACATGTGCGAATTTGGTGTGGGCCACTGAACATTTTTTCACAGATTCTGAAACACTTGAGCATCGCCGTTGACTGCATCGCTTTGCGAAAGGTTTTCTTCCATCCACAACCAAGGGGCAGCTGCCAGTGCTTTAAAGCGTGAGCTCAAGGCGTGCAGTTGATAGGTATTCACGAGCGATTTACGTTGTTCCGATATCCTCACCAAAACATTGTGAGAATTTATACATATCCTGAGAAGAGCATATGATAATAGGTGCTCGTGAGTAAGGTTATGAAAGGTATAAAGACGGAGAGGCCTTCAAATTTCAAAGAACCCGTGTTACTCACTTTTATCATTCTTTTAATTAAACTCGTCACGCACTGAATTGTAGTCAACGTTTAAGCATGTAAATAATATGTGTAAAAAAGGAAGTTTTAAAGTGTACTTTTCTTGCGTTCTAGCTACATGACTTCGAGTGAACATTGTCCAGTTGGCGGAGTGGCAAGGAATTCCCCGCCCCATCAACACACAGCCACCGCTTGTGATCGTTTCTCAGTGTTACACACGGACCTCGGCCCCAACGATTGTGAGACGAAGCAGAGCCCAAGTGGCCGGTCGCGTACGTGACTGAACAGAGTGCTGACAGAGGCACAGGATAGAAAGTACACTTTCTATTCGGTGTCAGGGGGCTCAAGGCCATTGGCCGCGATGGGTAGATGGGAATACGCTCGCATCACGAAGGCGACGAACGCAGCAAGTCTTCGACTATTCGGGAAACGATTTTTGAAAAATGCTGTGTGTTTTATCGAAACACTACATGCTTAAAAAATCGATGTTCACGTTTATATGAATATAAACTACTTTCTTAACCAAATTATCCATGAATTAACTTCTCAAATCATTCGTATATGACAAAGTACTACATATACAAAAACACGTTTTTAACACAAGCCCATCTGGTGAAGTATAATGTTGTTTTCATACAATTCTTACTTGTATACACTAGGTTTAATATTCTTGAATAACTGAAAAGACTTGTAAACTCGGAACAATGGTGCATGAAATAAATGCTCACGTTTGAAGGTCAGATAAGTCGGTCGGTTGTGAAATGGTTGTTTCAACGGAAATTGGAACAGTGGTAAACACAACGAAGCGATGAAAATGTTTATGTTCGTAAACTTCTTCAATATGTAAGTGCAGTAAAATATCGTTAATCCAAACCCCATATCCGAAAAATCCAAATTCGAAATTTCGGATAATCCGGAGAAAATTTGTGGGTGAAGAAAAATTAGACGAAATAAATAAAATGCTTCTTTGTAATGTAAAGAAAGGATTTTATAATTACTGTAGAAGTGGACAGCTTATTTTAGAAACAAGGTGTTGAAATGAATCGTTTGTTGCAGAGGTAATTACGATGTATATCACATGTTTACGTAGCAGTAACTTTCTCTTAGAGGAACTTGCAAAGTCAGTTACCTTCTTTTGCCGTGAGGAACTGACTGCTTGATGATGCGATCGCTGCGCTACCTTGCATTCTGTCTGGTAACCCTATAGAGGTATTTGTATATGTACGGTACGTTTCTCCAGGTAATCCTAACATTTCCCAATCCGAACAGACCACACCCCCAATTAATTCGGAATACCGGGGTTCTAGTGTTCTATGAAACATTTAGCAGGTAGATCTTCTCTCTGCCAAGCACCGATATCGTAGCAATAATTTCCGTTGCCTTTTAGGAACACGTTTCCTCGCGAGGGGCTTCTTTGTGTAGTGATCTTATTGACAATCACATAATCACGTGAAACAATTTATCTTTATAGCTATCTAAATATCGCACTTTAGATAAAGTAGTTATTTGTATACGAAATTTATTATTATGTTGAAGTGCTTGTACGCGGATAGTTTACTAATTTAATAATAATATGGTTGATTATTCTATATTGCTAGATCGTTGAAAATTATGTCAGTGCATTCTGTAGCTAGTATTATATCTGGACACATAAAAAAGTCTCCAAAATGCTTTAAGCTATTGAAATGATTTTGCGACAATTATAAATGAAAAAGAAGTAAGGGACTTCGAAATCTTGTTTGTAACATGTGTAATTATGGCGGACTAATTTCTTTAATGAAATAATTCTTCATAGACAATGGAGAGATCATAATAAAGGATTAAAAGATCAGTGGTCTATTAGTTGTTAATTCTCTTAGAGTAATAGCCTCATACTAAAACAAAGTCTACCACGTGGTCTGTGAGCTTTACTAACAGTCAAGAAATTTGAACCCAAATAGAAAGATGTAGCCTGCTACAGAGATTTCAACCTTTCTCGCACTCGCAAGGAAGTTCCTCATTCCCAACATCACTTTTGAAAAGTCAACAAATTGCTACTCATGGCGTTCTGCTTCAATGATCTGTGAGGTCCAGGGTAGCGGACCCCCCTCCGACGGCCTTCCACGCTGGCACTAATCACTGCAGTGCCCCTGATCGGGAGGGCCTTGGTTCGAGCTCCGATGGTGGCAGGATTTTAGACACTCGCTAGAGAGCTTGGCCGAATTTGGTCGCCGTCTGGAGGAGAATTCTAGCGAAATCTCTCTCATCGATAGATTTGCGTGTGTTCTGCGATCGACACCAGGCGAATGCCGGAGCAGTGCCATAACAAACGGGCCAGGGACAGCGTGCGATCTTTCCTTTCAGTATATTGTCCTATCCTCACCGCTTACAAACACACTCATATGCACTACACTACCACGCATGCCTGAAGACCGGTAGGGAGCTTGGAGCTTGTCACGGCCGGGGCGATGCCCCGATGGAGGGAGATACCTGGTTAGGGAAAAAACGGGTAGCCAACGATAGGTCGGCGCCGGATCTCACCATCCAGCGGGGGAAGATCACAGCCACCTCTTGGGGGAGAAGACATGCACTACACTTACGGATCTCATGCCTCTGCCTAGCAGCTGACGCACCCTGTATCACTAAGCAATCAATCAATCAAAAACAGTCACGAGAGGTCGGTCGCCGTCAGATGAAGTGGAATCAGTGGGGCCCAAAGCGAGGAGAATTCTGCGCCTGTCATTTCCTTTTCACACACATTATTCACGTCCAGTGCCGAAGCTAGACCATTTGGAGCCCGGGGCAATGCTGAAACCTAGACCACTACCCTCGGAAAAAAATTTTAAAATGTTGAAGTTGTATAAAAAAAATATGAGTAATTTTAATTCAATAAATAACAAAAATTACGTTTAATCTAGAAAATAGGTTTGGAAATATATTTTAAATAATAATTGTAAGTAAAAGTATTTTGTGATCAAATAATTCTATGTATATGATCTTAAAACGCTAAAATAATTTGTTGTGTTTAGTTAATGTTTGATAACACTTGTTAAATACATGGAATAATGAATATGAATTTCAGTATAATCAATTTTAATGTTAGCATCATTTGATTTTCAATGACTGTAAACATTGATTCAAAGCAATGACTGTATTTAAAGTAAAAAATAGATTGGAAATTTTATGTAACATCAGAAGGCGATGGCCCGGTCTGCCCATGCCCAGCGCCACCTCTGTCCACCACCATCACCATAATGTAGGAGACCAACCAATGGCAGAGGTGCGTTTGGTTCAGGCCTCTTGTGCTGTCTCCTCAAAAATGCGTAGCATAGGTTACTCGAATAAATATAAGTACAGTTAATAATACAAGTTCCTTTAAAAACAACAAAAAGTGTCAGTAACCCCCAATTACAAATGTTACCAACAAGATAACGAAGAATATTATTTCTCTTTTGCACAAAAATATCTACAAAAAATATCTAACATACCCTTATATTATCTTAGGTTTTCCTGAGCTCATCTTATGCGTAGAAATTATAAGACGTTTCTATTGTAGTATCTAGAACATCCAAAAACGTTACAGCTTCAGTGAATATTGTTTCGCGGTAATCAATTAAGAAGTGGTTAGAGAGAGTTTCTTCGAAAATACTCCAGAGATTGAATAAAATGTTATAACCGAAGTCAGGGAATACCAATAACGTATTACGATGGATATTGTTAGTCAGTACAGAGTCGACATATACATATAAATATGTTGTGACATACAAATATGCACATATAAACTAACTGAATAAAATTACTAGTATTTAATGAGGTACATTTAATTTTATGCCACTGAGTACTTCCCTCATTCACTCAAAAGCTGACGTGTAACTTTCAGTGTGAATTAAATCGTTCGTTCCAAAAAGGCCAGGCCCCCACCAGCCAATCCCCAGGCGCGAATCCCCTGAGAAGCTGCGGGCTGCATCTGCGGAATGCTCGGCCGGAAAGGCTCCCACAGGCCGGCGCGGAATGTCGTCTCGGACGTTTCGCGTCACTGATTTGCCGACGCTGTAAACTGATTAAAAGTAGTTTCATGGGTTGAAAATGTCTTTCAAACTTCATTTCTTTAATGCCCAGCTTTGTTCAAATATGTTCTTTCAGTATTTGGTATGAGACTTACCAGTGAATCGTAGTAGCTGATAATGTATCACTAATCAATCCTTCAAATTCTCAAATCCTTCAAAATTTCCCAAAACCCAATGGCCTTGTATCTTATCTCCAAATGGAGTATGAACTGATCTTATTGCAATTTCAAAATTATAATCGCCGTAACAACTTCCTGAAGGTTTTGATGCTAACAGTTAAATTTCTGAACGGCTACGTTTTTACGCTTCTTTGCTCATATGCACAAAATTGCACATAGCACACTAACATTGGCACAATTGCTAAATGCAAAAATGCATATCGTTCCTAATTAGTAGCGAAAATTTTGTCGCTACATCCTTTACAACTACATTTTATTCTTCCCCTAATTTCCTTAACAGTTCCATATTTTTCTGGCAAAATTTTTGAAGAAATTAAGACTTCACAAGCTCATTCTAATTTGCAAAATGCAATTGCTCTATTATTTGTTTTGCATGCGAATCTAGCGTTGCATGCAAATCTACATTGAAAGGCGATTGTTTTGTATGTTTATGTGAATAATTTTAAAAGATGTTAAGTTTCTTAAGAAAACGATGTGGGTCATATTCAGGTGGAAATTGGTATTTGCACACTTATTTAAGAAAGTAAAAGACAGAGCTCGATCATAACGTTCTGTAGAATTGACTTGAAGATCTTCACGTTTAATAAGTTTTGAGGCTACTGCTCGTAGATTTTTGCAATTAAAAAAATTATAATTCGAATCAGATTTGCAGCGCGATTCACTTGGTAATTCAATTATTCATATAAAGATCTCAACATCAGTGTTGCCAAAGCCATGAATGAAAATTATGGCGTAGTAAGTTAAAAATACCTTTGTGTACTGGTGTTTAATCAACAATTCTATATAGATCGATTTAGGAGGCGTTAGTTTAATTCCAGGCACTATCACTAAGATTGCAGCGCCAAAACATGAAAAAAAAATCGTTCTTGGAAATTTATTTGATTCGTCTAGCTGGATCTGAAAGCAAATTATCAGTTCTCCCCTTAGGAGATAACATCTCATACGTTTCGATTGGTGCATGGAAAGTGGTGTGGCCGTGAGTGACGGAATCGCCCACACATCCGCACACTCAAAGAGTTTTATTCGAATTCTGTTAAGGGACGAGCGCGTTCAGGTGTGCGTCCCGGCCACGGGTTGGCAGCGTTTCATCTGCAGCGGATTTTGTATCGCAGCCGCGCACGCTTTTTCTGCTGCCGCTCGACTTGCGCTCAACGTTTCAATAAATCAATTTCAGTTTTTATCAATACATTCTCTGGTCATTGTAGTAAATATAAAAGCGTTTCTCGTCCTTTGTGGCATCAAGGTATGAAATTCTCCGTACTTCTTCCTTTCCACGTGCGAATCATAGACCCCTTTTCTTCGTATCCTAAAGAGATATTAACAATTTGATGGGAAATCGTAGATAAAGAAGGTAAAAGCACCGTAACGCATGTGTTCGGAAAACGTACTACGTGTATTGACATTTTCTAGCTCGTGCATAAATAGAAGCAAGCGCGTTTCGTTTATCGGATGAGGAAAGCTGTCATAAATTGCCGCTCCGGTGTGAACGGCCCCGTGGGTTCCGCTGCCGCGTCTAGCGCGGAACTGCCACCCGTGCGGATCTCCCGCGCCGGTCTGTGGGAGCCCTTACATAGATTTAACACAATCAAATCCAAAATTGGCTCGTAACGCCTGTTCACGAGTTTTCAAGTCGCCGCACGGAGTGACCAGCCGGCGAAAACCAGGCCAAAACCTCAAAAAATAGTGTGTTTTGAAAATTTCTGAACATTCCACTCGAAAGAGGAGTGTTTCTTACATCTCTTGTGAAAGTATGAAGCCTATTCCCTGTACCTGCTGTGCGCTGTGGACGTTTCACGTTGGAATACACGGTCATTGCTCTTGTGGCGTCAGGGGACATAGTAGGTCGTGGTTTTTAATATTTATGAAAACGTATTCTAATAGATTTTTTTCTATATTTTTTAATCACTGATGTCTGTTGGTGTAAGTAAAACAAAAAATATTAATTTAATAAAGAATACAATAATTTACATTCAAAGTAATAAGGTATAAAATATAACTAGTAAGTATATATTTCTCCAAATTTATAGATAATTTAGCTTATTTAATATTGATTCAATTGAAGTAAAATTTGGCTTCGTGTCGCTGCAGAATTATGTTTGGCGAGCAATTTCCTATGAGCGTATATCTCATAGCGGCAACCTGGATTACTTAAATTAACGAGTGTATCGGCAAAGGGTGTAACGTGTGAAAATCGATATGTAAGTCATTAGAGTATGGCATTACGTTTGAAATAATAAATTATTTTATGGGGATAATCGCGTATTCAAGTTTTTTCCAACCATTTTTTTCCCGACCGTATGTATACCTCGTCACGACATACGACACCCTGATAGAGGGAAATAAAGTCAACCGTTCTCAGGGTTTGTTGCAGGAAAAAATTGCTTTTAACTTATTCTAATTGATATTAGTTATTACCTTATTGGTTATTAGCTTATTAGTTATTAGCTTTATCATTGGAATAATGATACGTCGCTGCGAAGCTGCGCATTAACATTTAATGAATAATTTATTGGCGGAAGAATGTACTGTTGTGGCGCTGTATTGTTAGTGGCGTAAAATTAGTCTAACATGATTGTTGTCATTTCGTCAAAGTGTAACAGCATATATGATTACCTTATTTTTTCGTGGATTCCTGAGTTTATATCCGGCGATTTTATTTTGTGTTGTTGTTTAATGTTTCGACTTTCCTTGATGGTAGTACCATCCGGCACCCTCCCTATATGAAATTAACGAAATTAACGCGCTTAGTTCACGAGATTTTGTACTAATAAAGAGTACGCTTAATGATTTATAACTGATATCTAACAATAGAGTATTTCATTATGTTATTGTATCATTCATTAAATAAGCATTCGGTGCAAGTTGCGGCAGTTTGAGGTTTTGTGAATAATTTACGTTGGGCGTGTGTATCTCATCGCGGAACTCAATGAAACGAAGCGTTCAGTTCATAAGAGTTTAATTTAATATGGAGTGTGCAAATGACTTACATCTGAGGCAATGAAATAAAGCATTTTATTACTTTACAAATAGTGCATATTTCTGCAGATTGAGGTTTTGTGAATAATTTCTTTTTAGCTTGTGTACCTCTTCGCGGCACCTTGCATTAGTGAAATTAACGAGGCGTTAATAAGACGAAATAATCGAGGCGGACAAATGGTTTTGTAGTAATAAGGATTGCGTATAGCAACTTATAACTGATATCTGGCATTAGCGTATTTTATTATTTTACAAATAAAGCAAAATTTTATTTCAAATTTCAGCAAAATGAGACTATAAAAAATCTGATTGTTGGATTATCTTGTCGGAGACATTTTGTCATTTCCGGTTGCCATATTAGATCAGCGATGTTGTTTTGAGTAATTTTTATATTAGATTTGAAATTAGGGACCTGAAAAACCCTCTTCGTAGAACTTAGTAACTGAGTTCGATGCCGTTTCAGGTTTTCGCCCTCTGGTCACTCCGGGCGCCGTGCGCTATGAATGCGGAGTAGGGGCCAGCAATGGACAGTGATGTGGAGAGCAGTGGTGTCTGAAGCCGGGAAAGAGGTTTCACACTAACGTTTAGAAATGGTTGAGAGCGATTGGTGAGCTAGTCTGGCGCACCGACTTTTGCTCCTTCTGCGCTGCACCAGTATGTGTCACGAACCACGTGGTCACAGCGCGGGCACTTTGTTTGAAAAGCCAGACCGGACGCTGGCCGTCATGACGCATGAACAGCCACTAGTGTTGAGCCATTTTCAAAGTGGTACAAAGTCACAATTGTCAACGGTGACAACCAAAAATAACACGATGAAGGTGTACAAGAAGCACTATTCAAAAGGAAGGTTCCATAACAAGCTGATAGTTGTGACGCAAATTGGTGCCTGAAGCTCATTAGCTGAAGTCTGCTACGATGCGCAGTAGCTCACATATCTCTTGCGGATTGCGCTATTATTACTCGCGCAACTTTTCTTGAACGATGAACAGTTGAAATCAAAAGCTCGCAGCAAGCACTTATAACAACAATCCAAACACATCTTCATTGGCGCGAAATAGAAACAATTTTCTTTTGAAGGCGAGAACTTCTATCGGTTATTTTCTCCAAAAAATCTAAAGAAATGACAAGCAGGTAAAGATCTATCACAGGAGATACCACGAGCTCCTGAGAAAGTTAGAACGGAAATTATTGAGAACGTTACGAAGGCATGTCTAATTCTCCAGAGATTGGCATTACTTGATAAAATCTAGTGGCCGATTTCGTAACTCATACCTCACTCTACCCGCATTTCTTCAATCCATCGTTCAGTTCAAGTTGCGCGAGTAATATTTCCAGTTCGATTTCGAATTGACGCAAAGACTCAAAAGTGCAGTCGATTGCTGTACTCGATCCCGCTCAGTTGCTGCAAAAAATTATGGATGATTACCAAGAAAAGGTATTTCTTAATTATATTTTTTTTATGAAAATGCTTTTACAAAAAGGTACGACACCCAGCCGATATAGAACATTGAAGTGTTAGGTGGTTAATGTTTTCAGCTCTTGCCTGGATTTACAATCTTCAACCGTGACAGTTAGTAGCTTCATAGCTTAGTAGCTAATGTTGTTAATGACTATTACGTTCTGTGGATGTGTGGCGTTTTCGAAATAAGAAAAGTTAAAAATATATTGTGTATCAACTGCTTGACTCATTATGGCAAATTTTGGAAATGTGGCGTTTTCGAAAAAACTGTTTCAATTTCTACAAAGAAAAAATATAAAATATAACTACTTTAAAATCTTCACAGTATTGTTTTCTGCTTTACAGTATTGTTTCCTGTAGAAACTTTAGTTTTTATACATTGCAATGTGTGTATGCCCATATTTTACATTATTGCACACCAGCATACAATTCTGATGGTTTACAATGTAAATATGTCATGATAAGTTTTAATAGTATCATAGCATTTCTTGGATAATCTAATAAGGATTTCTAATAAGATATCTAGTTTTGTTATGAAATGCTAACAAAATTTTTATTTTATTAATCTGCAAATATGCATGCAATAGTCTACTGCTAATCAATATTCGTGAATAGTTCTAGCTAAACGCGTTTTTTTTATATTTTCACGAAAGTTTGAAACCGACACGTAAAGAAATGAATGGATTGTTAGATTGTTTCATTATCCTGGCATGCCAGAAATTTGATGTAATGGCTGCACTTTGTTCTGAAATGATGCTGTATTTATACATAGTAATAATAAAGTTATACAATACTTACATAATGTTGTTTAGTAGAAATAGTTCGTAGAAACATGACCCTCCCCTTTTATGCCGACATACATAATTGTACCTCACCATAGAAGTTTATAAAAAGTTGAACTGACTTGCAGGCAAAACAATTGAACTGTTTCTTTGCTTTCAATTTGAAACAGTTGAGTCCCCACACGAATCTCCGTTTATGATTCAGAAGCTTCAACACCGCGTCAACAGAAAATTTCTAAGCTATGAACACAATATTGTTACATTTTATGATAAAAATTATAATTAACAGAACACCTACAAGGCCGTTTAGAAATGCTTACTCCATAATCCATCAAATAATGAACACGCGAGTTGTATTTCAACCATCATCAAAAATCTTTAAAAACTTCACGTCAAAACATAATTTTTAGAGTCGGGTCAGCTTCCCAACTCATGAGTTATATTTAAAATTTTTGTGTCATAACCCTACATTATTATTCAGTATGTAAGTTGAGAAATTTAAATTCTAAGTTTGTTCAAGTCTTGATTGGTCCTTCGCTGTTTTAGCGCACCGCGAATAATATTTAGGTGCACATTGTAATGAATTTTTAAGTCTATACGAATGAATTCCAATACTGTTCACAATTATAATTGAGTGTAATTGAATACTCTACTTCATCTCGCCTCCTTTCACCAGAGCGATTATATTGAATTCACTCACCTCTACTGCAAATTCAAGCGCTAAAGAGTGACTGCCAAGAAGGCACGAACCAATCAAAAGCTTGCTGACCATTGGTCTTAAAAAACTTTTGGAAAACTTCTCATTACCGTGGACCACACAGACAAAAACCTCCAAAATGTAATAGCTATTTTATAAAAGCTTATACTAACTCACAATAAGTTCCAACGCAAATAAATATGAGTAATCTCGAAAATGCAGAGTGGGCGATAACCTAATGAGTGAAAAAGAGAACGAAACAAAATTATCGCGGGAAAAACGCACTTACTCGTAACTCGGCTCTCTGAATGAGAGATCACATCGGTTCTTCCGAACGCTCTTGAAGGCCGCCAACGATGTTGAATGAGATAACCAGAGCAGCTCGATCGGCCGCACCCCGCCTTCTCTCACTTGGAGCCCGCTGCTTGCACACCCGTAGAAGTCTCTGTCCTCACAAAGCACATCGCGCAGAAGCAACGGCCGCAACGCGAGGCTTTCAAATCTCTGTCTGCATCGTTCAAAGCAGAGCAAAACTGGTGGTGCCACATTAGTGCATGCTTTCTTCTATTATTGGCACCTCGTATACTATTAATATTTCACCCAATATTTGAAAAAACCAAAGATACAACTCGAATTTACTCGAACGCATGTAATTGAAGTAACTTCAAGATACAATATTGAGGAATATATCCCGTTAACAAAAAATCTTTTTCTTTAATATTGAAAGTGTACAATAGGTCTGAAAAAATTGGCATTTTCCCAATTTGTGAAGCTAGAACAGTTTTAATGTAATTGAGACCTATCACATTATATTAAGCAAACTTTGCTCTGCTGGAGCAAATTATGTCGAGAAAAAATTTGGAGCGGTTTTTGAGAAAATGTTTTTTATAAATTAATTTCATTGATTCATTTTTAAAATTAATTTCATTCCAAATTACGCAAATATTTTTTTAAAGAGAACATTTTTTGGAACAAACTTTGTCTAAGGTAAACATTTTCATCTTGAATTTTGTAGTTTTGAAATATTAATTTTTCAAAATTTTCGAAAATACAGTGTTTGCCAAAAATGGGACTAGCACCTTGTTTTGTTACCATCCCTTGATTCATTAGAGGGGGAAAGTTAAAGAAATAAATTGGTACTGTTTTATAGAAAAAAGTGTTTAAACAAATTTAAGACGCGTCTATATTTCGCGCAAAAATTCGCGAAAACTACACATATTTTCGAAAAATTGTACATTACCTAATTTCAAGATCTGTGTTCAGGGAACAGATTTCTTAAAGAGAAAATTTTCTATCTTCAATATTATAGTCGTGGGGAAAAAATTACAAAAAATTACGTTTTCAATTTTCGGAAAACCTGGAATTTCCACGAACTTGTGACCTACACCATTCTCTTGAACGTTCTTTACGATCTCCGAGGAGGCGTTTTAATGAAACAGTTTGGTGCCTTTTTTGAGAACACTTTGTAAATGTTTTTGAGGTTTCATGTAAAGAACCCTAAAAAATCAAAATATCCATTTGAAACTCCCTTGAGATTGTTTAGATCGTTGGGTGAGTATCAATTTTGGAGAAAATTGGCTGCACGGCTTAGGGATAACGCTAGCGTTTACCACAGACTGGCATTTTACGCTCAATCGATTTTTTTATATCAAGGACCCACAAAAAATGATCCACGGATAGAATAAGGGACGCTTAACAGAATGGCGCAAGTCTCATTTTGGTCGAACTCTAAATTTTCGAAAAATGCAAATTTGGAAACAATGCGAGAAAGTAAGTGCTGTTGTAGCACAACTAATTTACTTTGGCTAACAAAATATCGTCGTCAACAGATTCAAATGCGTTGCTAAAATCGACAATGAAAATTGTAATTTTACCGTTGTCCATTGTATTTCTAGCGTCTTCAGTCACAAAAGGAGCTCAGTTCTTGTGCTTTTACAGAGCCTAATTTTTATTTAAAATATTGAAATTTTGAAAATGATGTACGATCTGTTTCGAGAACTTTCTTTTTTCTCTTTTGGGGATTTTTCAGTACTGTTGGCACGATTTCGATGAGACGTAATCAACGCGCATCATAGGTCAGGTTCTTTTAGAGAGGGAATGAACAAGTGCTGTCTTTCAGGCCGACGGAAATTCGCCGCTCATTGGCAAAAAAGTAATTATGTTCACGACTGCCGGGAGTGCTACGTCAGCTCCGAGCTGCAGCAGATTCGCATTGATTCCGTTTGAGCGTTTGCTTTTGGACCCAAAATGATTAAGACGTCTGTCGCAAAGTAAAGAGCCTTTAATGCCAATGTCTATGCTTCGTAAAGAGGATAAAATTCCATATTTTAGGAATGGATTGGTTGTCTGTGAAAAAATAACAAAATCATAATTCATCAAAACGAGAGGCACATTGATTTCTGTTGGCTTTCGAATATTTCCGATACCCACTGCGCAAGTAGTTCAAGGTCCATTGGAATCGCAGCTATTTTGAAAAATATAGTGATAATATTCAGCACATCTTGGCATATCTCAATGTTTGGGTAAAAAAAATTTTTTTGCACGTAATATGATCGCTAATGTTTCTTGTTTTTCGAACACTTTCATTGTCCCGGTCATGCATTAGTTTGCGAATTCCACAGGATTTTCACGGAGTTACAGGACACATTATGGGTATCGTCTTTTGTGATATACTTTGTGTTTTTAAGGCCCATTAAAAAATTGTGCAAAGAGTGCAACTTTGCAATTGAGTGAGGTTTCGTTATATACATGATTCCAAGGGACCGACATTC